CCGAGCAGCCCGGGCTCGGCCGGAGCCGTGAGGGAGACAGCGCGGGGCTCGGGGCGGCGGCTGAGGCGGGGCACGGTGGCCTGCTGCTGTGCTTTGGGAAAAGGGAATTTCGGGGATAAGCGAGGAAAGTGGGGGACTCACAAACTCACAAATGTCAGTCAGTACGTGGTTTTAGGGCGGCAGTATCGGCGATCACTACAGCGATTAGCTTGGTATCTGTTGCTGTGCAATTCCGATTTCATCTATTTAAAATGCAAATAAATGTCTGCAAATAAAGGCGAAGTGTCGCTGTTTTGATTTTTTCTAGGGGTCTAAATTCTGTAAATGCTGTGTGTCCAACTGCTATGTTTTGCGGGGTGGAAATACATATTTTGTTGCAACTACTACTAGTGCCGGTGTGGTTATGCTTCCCCTTCAGAGATTCTGTTTCTTGTTCCTGCCATGTTGATGGTGACTCTTCAGGGTGACCACTGATTACTTGGCACTTTGAATATTTTAAATATTGTGACTTTCTTTAGTCTAAATACCTGTAGAAAATTGTTCAATAGGCAGGTAGAAGAACCCTGCAGATAAGCTTCTTGGGGGAAGTTATCCCTTAAGTAACCTCCTGTGGCAGAAGATACTTTATGATGCTTTACCTACAGAAATTTCAAGTGCACCTCAAAGAAAATGAAGTTCCCAATATGTGCTCTCCAGATAACCCACTGTGCTGATGTCCATGTTTTCGTCAAATTGGCAGAGATAAGTCCACAGAGGTCAGGGAAGAAGCTCCTTGTTCTCACATGGATCAGTAGCTTTAAAGTCCAGACTGTTTCTAGGCATGACTTTGAAACAGCAGCAGGCACTGGTCTTATAAATGCATTTCTATCTTTAACATGAGTGACTGAGTTCATGTACCCAAGTGCTGTAGTGACTGGCTGCCATAATTATGAAAAAGGCAGTAAAGTTCCTGCCCAAGAAACCCCGATGAACTGGAAGCCAGCTGTTTTTGTCTGCACACTGTTAGCTGTTAATTGGTATGAATGGGGTTGTTGTAGTGGGAATTTAGGGATGTGATCTGAACCAGAAGAGGTCATGCAGATGTTCATCTTTGGTAGACACTGGGGAGCTATTGCTGTGGCTCATGTTTGCACGTCATCTCCAATGGGACTTAGAGCTAGCTATCACTTGGTATAGGCCAGATTGAAATGAATGCCTGAAGATGTCTAAATGGAGATTCATGTTAATGTTTGAGATGCATGCTCAGGCTCCTTGGTGTTGCTGGCTCGGTGCCTGTGGCCATTTTTTATATGCAGCTGCCTTGGCTGTTGCCTTTACTGCTGGGACCAGAGTTTCCTGTGGTCCAGAGTAGTCCCCAGCTCTGTGACTGAGGTGGCAGCCTGATTTTTGGGGAAATTAAGTTTGTTGTTTTTAACTTTTACAGTGTGGGGGGTTATATAGCTGATTACCTGAAAGGCTGCTTTTATCCACATCCTGCTACACTTAAGAGCAACAGAGATGCCAAAACTAGAGCCCTATAGCTGATTACCTGAAAGGCTGCTTTTATCCACATCCTGCTACACTTAAGAGCAACAGAGATGCCAAAACTAGAGCCCTTCTGTATTTGTAGAAAGACAAAGCTGTTGATCACTGTTTGTAAAATATTTATCTCTGAATAAAAATATTTTTTAATCCAAAAGACATCTTGGGACATGTTTAATGTTTGGAGAAGCGTTAAACATGATATTTACATACTACTGTTTTGGATATCTTTATGTAGTTTCACTAAGACTCTGATGTGAGGTGGAAAAGTAAGAGTTAGTGACAACAGAAACAAACAGGAAGTTGCTAATGCACAATAGAAACTGTGATGGTTTAAGAGCATTGGACCTCAATTTTCAATGCAGTAACTTTTTATGCCCTTGAATTGAATTTCACCATAAAAGCTAATAAGCAGTGTGCCATGGGGCAGAGAGTAAGATCAGGAAGATAATGTCCTGTTATTAAGCCCATTGCTTGCTTCTGAAAATGCAGCAGAGTACCCTAGAAAACAAAATTGCAGGATACTGCAGGGCTCAAACTTCTTTGACTTGGCTGACCCAAGATAATACAGGAAAGTGGTGGAAGTGGGGAAAACAAGGAGGATAGGGAATGGAGAGGAAATAGATTTGCAGTGAACAAGCCAATTAAAAAATTTGATTAATATTCACCTAAGTTTGTTTCACTTTTAGGCAAAAGCAACGACCATAAAAGAAGCTCTAGCCAGATGGGTAAGTTAATAGAACAGTGTCTAGCAGCATGGGGTTTGACTGTATTCAGCTCGTTTTGTTTTTCAAGCATTGTAAGAAATATGTCTACTTGAAACATCTGCTTTAAGAAGTTTCACAAAGTAAAATGATGATTGCTGTTGTTGTTGTATAGTACATTCTGTTGGACTTCCTGTATGTTCCTGTTAAATTGATACAACTGGTAAAGATTACTCTGTTTTGCCCTCCTGCCTTGTTCTGCTGAATATGCATTAGCCTGAAGTCACAAAGAGATTCCAAGTTGGGGATGTATTATGTTTTAATTATGCTCTGTTCACTTCACCTAAGTGCAGTCCTTCCCACAGAATAAAGAAGTATGAAATTCTCGCCGTACTGAATTCAGTGAAACTTCCACATGTCTTTTGACTTATGGTCCCTCATATTGTGAAAAGCTTGACTCAGAATGAGTTTCTTGAGTTTTTTTCTTCTTAAAGTACTCTGTTAATACACAAAATCATTTGTCTGGTGGTGGCTGACCTGGTCTTCCAGAAAGCTGTGTGTTGGCAAGGATGCTGATGTAATTTCAAACGATGATGAAGGATGCTCTAGGATCGGTTCACTGTCCACGAAAACCAGTGACAATCTTTCTCTAGTCTCTGAATTTTAGATGAAGGCAGATATGCTGTTGGGTGTTCATACATTTCCCTGCTAATTCTGGCCAGCTGCTAGAGCAAGGATTTATGAATATTTTGGTCGCTAGAAGATCTGGATGTGATAGCATGGGCAGGTACACTTGAAAGCCAGAAGCTCAAGGTACTAGCCTGTAACTGAAGATTACTTCCATTTTGAGTTTTATCATTGTTTAGTACCTTCAGTATTTCAGGGATTTTCCAGTTATGTTGGTATATCCCATAAACTTCACTCTTGCTCTCCTGTTAAGAACTAGAATACAACAACCTGCATACATTAGCATTAGAAGAGGTATGAACTGCATATTTTAAAAGTTTGCTTCGTCTCCCTCACCCTTTCTGCCTTCCAGAATTTCAGCTCCCTGTTTCCTATTACAGATTTGTTTTTCATTTGCTCCTCTGTCATATGTCTCTTAGACAGAATCAGTATGTGTCAGTGAGTTTCTATGAACATTAGGCATAAAGTGCTGATTTTTCTTTTCTGTTCAAGTTATTGGGGGTGAGTCTAAATCTTCCTTTTACTCTTCCTAATCTGGGTCCATGTGACTTGTACAACTGCATTTGGGGTTGTGTTGCATTCCAAATGTTTTACTTCCCTCTGGCATAAGGGTTTACCTATGCCCTACAGTCAGCGTGACGTTAGTTAAATCAAAGCAACAGGAAATCAAAGCAGCTTCAACTTGGCAAACATGTAACCTGTTCTTAGAAAAACAAGTCTGTTCTACCTATACTTTCTCTGTGGCATATCATGGTTGTACAGCTGCTTACAGAAGTACTTGGCAATCAGGATGGAATTTCTTCTGCAGGTGCTCACTGCTGGCCCAGTATGAGTTGGAAGCTTTCTGCCTTACATGTTTTTCAGGAAAAATGTATTTTCATTTGTTGGAATAGGCTAATAGATTACAAAATGAGTGTAAATACAAGTAGATACAGCACTGTTCTTAGAAAAGAAAATGGAAGTTTCACATTGATATAGTTACTTTGCTTGAACATCTATCACCATATTCCAGCAAAACATCTGACATTTGCTAAATCACTAATTTTGAGTAAAAATACTGTCACACTGAATTTGGTCAGAAACTGGAATATAAATAAATGTACAGGGCAACATCATTTTTTTTAAAATTAAATTAAGTTTTCTGAAGTATTTTGGGTGCATAAGAAGAAAAATAATGTTATCAAAACCTGATGTCCTGCTGTGGGATACTAAAAGACTTATGGGATATGATTAATTTAATTACAAAGTAGCTGTATAAACTGGGTCACACTCAGCTATCTCTCTTTTCAGTAGATGCATGAAATGGAGGAGAAAACAAGAGTCCTTGTTTTGAAAGTGCCAAGATTTCTCCTTTGTTAATGGACCTCCAGTCTTTGCACTGAAAACTGAGTGAACTGACAAAATGCTCCCTTTGTGCTGTCAGGGAGGCAGCTGTCAAAACTGCTGCTACTCTCTAAATGGGTGCTTGTTCCAAGTGTTTAGTCAATAATTGCCATCACTTCAGAATTTTGAAAGCTTTAATAGACCGTATTTTTTAATAAACCTAAATGCTGAAGTTACGTCCATTTTTCCAAGGCTCTGAATTATCAACCTAGGTTGTAAATAGGAAATCTTTTTCTGTATTCTCTAAGTGTGACATCTTCCCTCACTCTTTTTAATTAGATTAATTTGATTTATTTTTTTTTTTTGAGATTCTTAACGCTGTGAATCTGTTGAGTCTCTCCCCCAAAACACACTTCCCCCTATGGACAGTTTGTTTTGTGAGCCAGGCATGAGTTCTGAAATTTGTGGGTGAAGTGGGAAGGAGGCTTGGCTGTCAGAACTTTTAAATCTGCTTCTGCTGTAGATTGCCACTAGCTGAGGTTTCTATATGCCAGTCTTCATGGAAATACCTTAATTCAGAATTTTAACCTTCCATCTATTCTCCATTCTTTATGGCAGATGACTCCTTTATTAAATTGGTCAAGTGTTACACAACTTTTAAAAACCAGCATATGTAATGTATAAGTTATTCTGATATTTTGAAAATAAGCTAGCCTTACTCTTTTTATGCTACATCAGCAGGAATCTTGATAACAGTACTCAGAATGCTTTCTCTTTCCAGTAGTATATTGGAATTACTTCTACAGTAATCACTTTTAGAGTAATTCAGTATAGTGGTTTTTGGTTATTGCATGTAGCAGTGATTGTCTTCCTCACCTTGTCTTTTCTTTAGGAAGAGAAAAGTGGACAGAAGGCTTCAGAGGCAAAGGAAGTGAAACTGTATGGGCAGGTTCCTCCTGTGGAAAAGATGGATGGTGCTCTCTCTGCTCTTGTTAACTGCGAGTAAGTTCAATTTAAAATATGCTGGAAACAAAATATTCCCCTCTCTTTGTTTCAGTTTTTCTGCTGTCCACTGCAAATATTTATTTACTGTGTTTAAGTGTGGCCTTCAAAGCAGCAGCTTTCTCTTTTTTTTTCTTAACTGAGCTTCTCTTCCTGCACACAGTTGCCCTTTTTAATTCAAAGACCCCTGTAACTTAACTCAGAAGGTGTTAGGGTAGATTCTGTATTAATATTTGTCCCCAGAAAAATCATATACTGTTTATCAGTGTATAATTACAGATCTGTATTTGGAGTCTATTAGCTAAATGGTACATTTATGATCCACTCCAAAATTCATGAAAAAAAGAGGCAATTTGAGCAAGACTTTCAGAAAGAGATTAATTTCAGAAATAAACATCCATGCATTTGATAAGGCTAGGCATCAAAAGATAATCCAGTATGTCATGTAAGTAACTTACTGTACTTTCCCAGAAGCTAAATAAAGTTGAAGAAATCTTAATGGTTTGAGGATATTTTGAGTCTGTTTACACATTCAGTTCATTTACCATCTAATGAGACAAGAACATATAATTATTTCTAATGCAGTGGTGTTGGGATATGGAGCTCTTCCAATGTAGTGATCCCTTATATACTATGAATTGATTATTCTTGCTTTTAAAGGAAACTGTCACTGTCTACAAATTGCATTGATAGAATCGCCAACTTGAACAACCTAAGTAAGTGACAAGCCATCTGTCCGTTGTGTCCATTGTTTGTTTTCTAGTTGCCTGGTTAGGATATATGCCATCATTTGTTACGTGTGTCCAGCTTTATTTATACCTGTTATTATCCTTTTTTATTCCCTCCCCATAGAACATTACAAGTGACCTTTAAAATGACCAGTCTTACTGGGAATGCATGCTGAGCAGCAGTGGTGTACTGCAGCAGGTATTCCTGCACTAGCCTTGACAGTTGTCTCAATCAGTGCAACAATCAAAACATTCCATCCAGTAAGCACTTCAGTACCCTCCTGTGGGCCTTGCTGTGCTATTCAACACCTAATCAGTTCTAGAGTGATGTCATGACCATTTTCCGTGCTCCTGATGGAGACAGTCTGCAGTTCAACAACTGCATTATTGGTTGCAGTGAGGTTGGAGTGTTGTAGACCTGGATGGAAAAATGTCATTCCACTTTGCAGAGGATTGGATATACTTGTTTTCATTTTGTTCATGCTTTATAAATGGATGTGCCACCTGTCTAGAAGTAGAGTTTCTCTTTCTTGGACAGCTGTCTTTGAAACTCTTGGGTTACTGACTTTGGAACAGAAGTCTTAATGGTCTGTCCCTAAGACTTTGACTGTTGCATGAGACTTGCAAAGAGCTGCAGGTTTTGAAGTGGAGCTTCCAGGCTTTTTGGTTCCTATTAAAATGCCAGCTAGATAGATAAGGAACCTGGAATTTCATCCTTTCCACCTGCACACCAAGAGATCTGTCAAAGAGCAGACCAGAAGATCGAGAGATCTTTTCATAATAAGCTCAGACTTTAAAAGATTTGGAAATACTAGTCAGGGAAAAATATTCCAGTAGTCTTTCCAAATAATTGTTCTGTAATACTTCAATCAAGTAACTATCATCAGAAAAAATAATTAGGCAGTTATACATAGAAGTAAATCCAATGAAATGTTTTAGTGGGGTGGGATGAAACATTAAAAGCCTTTAAAGCATCTTAAATATTTATATTAATGTAGATTCTAATCATCCAGTCTATACCAAGTATTTAATGCTAAAACCAGACAAACTAGAGCTAAGTGGAATGTCTCTCATCACGCATCTCTAAGGCAGCTTTATATGCTGCCTCTAGTATAGAAACCAAATCTGTTGTCTTAAGATCAGAACCACTTTTGCCTGAAGAAGAAGGGATATGAATTATGTAAGATCAAAAGAAGGACGTCAGCAGTTAGAGTTCAGGTGCAAGGTGAAATAGTTTTTGTTCAGTATTTCAAAACTGAATTTCAACTAGGTAACCTACACATGAGCAGCTTTGGATTCAGGAGTGTATTTCTGAGCTTTCCACTGCATCAATTCCTGCTGATCTGTTTAGATCACATTTTGTTTCCGTTAGGTCATTCTTTCTTAAGGCAGCCTGTTGAGAGTGCAGTTTGTAAGCAGAATATGGCATTCTATGTGACTTACAGCATCTTCTTATTTAAAAAAACCCTGTTTATTAACAAGATTCTTTAAAAAAATTTATTACAGAAAATTTGAGGATACTGTCTTTGGGAAGAAATAACATAAAGAACTTGAATGGATTGGTATGTGCTTTTTAGTATCAATTCTTTACTAACAATATAGAATATGAGGTAATTCCCCTGTGTTCATACAAGTCTTTTCTGAATTCAATAAAATTAATTGAATAAAAGGTTAGGCACTAACTTTTTATATTCTCCTTTTGCTATCATCTGTTCTCCCTCTTACATATTGCTTCTGAATTTTCAGATAATCGTTCACTTTTTTTGGTTGAAATGCTCTTAATGTTTGGAAATTTTGCTACCTTAATTTACTACACAGAAGAATTTTAGAAAGAGAGATTTTGTTGTCTTTAATAAAGATGATCATAACTTCTATTTGAAAACTTCTGTCTATCTGTAAAGCAATTTAAATTCCTGGCTTTACATGAGTATAATTCCTACAGACCTTTTGCACACAGAATTTTCTACCTGAAGATACTTAGGCTATGCTTCTTTAATACAAATATTGGTAGTCCTGTAAACACAGACTTCCTGAGAGTCAATCCTTTTTATGTTGACTGGCACCTAGAGCAGTATGGCTTTAGAGTTGATGGTGGCAGGACTGAGTCTAATTAGTAGGGGAAAATTAGCTGAGAAAAAAATTGGATCAATTTTGTTACATTTGAATTCAGAATGAAGAGGAATACTTTTTTCGATCAGTATTTTTAAAATGAATATATAAATTATTTTCTTTCTCAAGATACACTGTTTCTCCTCAAAGCTTTTCTCACTTTCAGAGATGCCGTATCTCTTAAGTGTGAAATGCAGAGTTCATGTATGACTGGTTTAAAAAAAACTCTCTTCTGAGGGAGTTATGAATGTGATTTCTGGCCAGCAGATACAAACATACCAGAATATACCAGAATTAATAATGCTCTCACACTGTATAACATCCCTTTCAAAACATTTGTCAAATTTTATTCTCTTCACATATGTTCACAGTGCACAAATAGGCAGATTTGTCTCCTCTGCCCCTATGCCTTTAGAACTACTCCAGCCACCTACATCTTGTTTTATTCTAATACAGTGATTTCTATCCTCATATATAATTTTGCTTTTAATTCCCATGAACACTTGCCATGCATAATAATTAGGGAGCTGCCTAAAAGGAAATGAGGACCAATATACCTTCATATTTTCTCACATGAGGTGACCTGTAGAAGGTGAAGAAGGAGTATGAATACTAAGGAAGATGTATTTCTGCTTATCTGAGTAGTCCTCTCATTTTCCAGGAGGCAGTTGCTGAAACTTTAGAGGAGCTGTGGATCTCATACAACTTAATTGAGAAACTGAGGGGTATCCGTGTAATGAAGAAACTGAAGGTTCTTTATATGTCAAATAATTTGGTGAAAGACTGGGGTAAGGCATGCATCTCTACTCCGTAGAGACTTCTGTAGAATGGTGAATGCATGAGTTAAGTCACCAAGTGAAAAACAGTGCTGTATCTCCTGGACCTTTGATCCTAACTGACCAGCCTGCAGACATATGCAAAATCCCTAAACATCCACTCATGCAAGAGAGTAAAAATAGTTAGAATATTGAATCTAACTTCTAAGTCCAGTTAAGTTCAAGCTTTGAATCAACTTTCTCCAACCTCTTTTAAAACACATCCCTGTTCTTTAACCTGACACCAGCTAGAGCCCAAGCAGTCCCTCTCTTGCAGGCCATGCTCTTTGTGTTTGCACTGAATGTGAAAGGAATGTGTGGTGCAGATGTACTTTCCATGTTCCACAATCTGGTTGGTGTTTTCACCTTTGTGGTTGCAGCAGAGTTTGTGAGACTGGCAGAGCTGCCAGTACTAGAGGAGCTGGTGTTTGTAGGAAATCCACTACAGGAGAAATTTGCCACTGATCAGAACAGCTGGATTGAAGAAGCAACCAAACGGGTACCCAAGCTGAAAAAGCTGGATGGTGAGTTTGGGGCATGAGGCAATTGGAGTGAGTTAAAAGCATAATATAAAGACAACCCCAGGGAAATTAAACATAACCTCAGAGATTCATTTGTGTGCTCATGAAATTAATATTCCTCCCTCCTCTTCAGAGTTATTCAGAAATAGTTACTGAGATCCTGGCCACAGTGTTTGATGGATTTTGGAGTGCTAAATCCAAGTGGTCTTGCAGCGTACAGTTGGGCATTATTCTGTAGTTACCCAAGTACTTTTGTCAAATACCTAATAGGGAATGGAAAGATTTAGCATTAAATAAGTTAACAAGGCTTGCATCTGCCAAGCTGAATAACAGTTTTCCCAACAAAAGAGGTGATGTGGGAGAATGGAGATAGATAGGGATATGCTCTGGTTTGCTTTTGATGCAAGGACAAAAACTGCATGCAAATTTCCTAAATGCCTGAATATCCCTTTCCATTACTGCAGTAAGCCTCAATTTGTGAGTTATCCTCTCCTGTTTAAGACATTGGTATGAATAGATATTCAACCGTTTAGTGATTAAAAATAAGATAATTTTGAAATTTATTTTTAAATATGTTAATTCCTGTCAATGGAGATGTTAGCTGTTCACTATTATCCCCTGTTTACTAAAGCAATGAAGGGGAGAGCAGGAATGGTAGCACTAACAGAGTCAGAATAACAGCAGGGAAGGGAAGAGTGGAGGCATATCAACAAGAGGAGAAAGCTTCACTACAGGGAGTGGTGGATGAGAAATCTATTACCAGATTATATCTAGAACCAGATCAACTGCATTAAAAAATTATTAAAAAGTGGAAGCCTGATGAGAGAATTGCACTGATAGCAAGGATGGCCTGCAGTGGTCCATTTACTGTTGTAGCAGGAAAAGTTTTGAGTGTAAAACAAAAAAACAGAATAGGGCACATATTGTGGGAAAAAATTGCCCTTAGTAGTGTAAGGTTAGTCTTACTATCTACCATAAAACTTGGGCATATATGTCCTGGAAAAGGCAGCACAAAGTAGGGGCCCCACAAGAGAAGGATGATGTGCTGATTGGTTGTTGACTATCAGTTGAACTGACTTGGTGCATCTCCCAAAGACCAAGTGAGGCTGATCTTTGCAGACCATGCTTTAGTACCTTTTTATTCCCTGTTACCCAAGAAGTTGGAAAAACATCCAACAGAGGAGCTCTTCAGTTGAAGGTTTTTCTAGTTAAGACCAGTTGAGACCAGTATGCAGAAGTTCACGTTGGTTAGAAACAGGCAGGGAATACAACTTTTGACTCTTTCCAGCAGGAGAGAAACTTTCAGGTAGATCATAATTAACTATGTCTTCCTCTTCTTCTTTTCTTCTTTTTTTTTTTTCTTCTTCTAGGTACCTTAGTTGTTAAAGGAGAAGAGGAAGAAGGAGCAGAAGGAGCAGAAGGAGCAGAAGGAGCAGAAGGAGGAAACTGATGACACTTTCTTGTTGGGTATTAAATTATTAAAGTAACTCCAGATAGCTTGGCACATAAACTTTTATAAAAGTATGTTTTGAAGAAAATCTTTGGGAAGTTTTTAGAAGACCAGCTTATCTCCACAGTCTCTCACCCAAAGAGTTAGTTACCAAAAATTGCTCACACTGGTTTTGTCAAGCTTATGACACCTTCTATAGAGACTAGTGGAGCTGAGTTTACATGCTGTTTGGCTAGCAAAAATTTATTTAAATTAATACATAGCTATTTTTAATTCCTGATTAGTGGTGCTTGTTGTTCACTCTTGGGTTATAAAAGAAACATTTTAGCTTATTTGGTGCTGCTGGCCAACATTGAATTGGAAACTCTGAGGCCAAAAAAACCATGTTGTGATTTAGAAATACCTGACAAGCTTTGTTGTGTTTAATTTTGTCACGGGACTTTCTCAATATTTTTAATATGGGAGTTTGCCTTTTCATTCCTTGAAGTCAAACAGGGTCAGTAGTTGCAGACATACGCACAAAAAGGTATTGGTCTGATGAGTGCTTGTTCCTGGCCTTAGGTCTTGAAATGGGCTTCTCACATTGGAACTCAACTGCATTGCTTAGGAGGCCATGTATAACTTATATATTTATTTATTTTTAAGAGGCAGTGGGAATTCTTTGCATGGTTTCAGTAAGACTAAAATACCTACTAACTTTGGGGCTTGTCTCTTACTAAGAAATTACTTTAGATTGGAATATGTGGCTTATTAGCCTACAGCTGGTTTCTGGCTTTGGATTGGGTCCTGGTGGACATAATCCTTCTCAGTTCTGGAATCTTCCTATAATGAAGTAGGCTGATAGTAACAGAGAATCTAACAGCAAACAGAAGACCTGGGCTCAAGGACATAAAATTTTGGTTTGGGGATACTCATTTTTTGTGAAAGCACAGGTATAAGCAGTAAGAAAAGCTATATGTAGTTAGTGGGGATGGTGAGATGAGGTGAGGTGAGGTGAGATGAGGTGAGATGAGATGAGATGAGATGAGATGAGATGAGATGAGATGAGATGAGATGAGATGAGATGAGAGAAGAGAAGTGGGCATTGGTAAAAAAAGTATTGAAGAGGTACTGAATGTGCTATATTGCAGGGTAATCAGTTACCAGCTCCTTATGTGGCTATTTCTAGTGAAAAGCATTAAACAACGATGAAGACATACCTGATTGCACTGTGGGATGACAATAGAGAGTTTTTTCTTTTTGAAGAACAGATGGAGTCATCCGAGTAGATTTTTCTGCAGTTTCTTTTTGTTTTTTTAACAAGCTTTTCTTCTAATTTGTGGTACTACCTTTTTTTAAATTGAAGTGGGAACGAGTGTATCTGTTGGTTCCAGCCCAGCCATAGAAGGAATGGGGGCAGAATGCAACTCTTAGTTATTTTGTTCGTGAAGGTGTGGCAGGAGTTGAAATCTTAGAAGTTCAGAGATGAAATGGTGGAATTGGCCCAGGCAACAGTGGTACTGATCTCAAGCTCCAGGTATAATTGCAGTAGGCGATTCTCTCTAATCAGTTTCTAAGTGAACACTGTGAAGTAAATGATTAGAAGACAATCACAGTTTAGTTTCAATATATTGTTTCTTAATCTGTGATTATTAGAGGAATTGTAAAGCATTCCAATTTAAGTTGACATTTTCTGAAGAGGTTTGAGTTTGATTTGGATCCATTACTAAAAGTAAGGTCAAGAGCACAATGGTAAAAACTCTGGACTCTTCACCCAGCACAAACTATTTCCAGGCACCTGTTCTCTTTACCAGAAACTACATTCTTAGTTAGCTAGTTCACTGGATTTAGACAACTTCATTTTCATTTGTTATTTCTTTAGAAGTATTCTCCTAGCTTTATCATGAGTAAAGGCAGCATTGACCAAGAAGCACCATGGAGGAGTATCTACAGTCAGCAATCATTTCACATGTCTTTTGAAGCCAAGCCACTCCGTTCACTTGCAGCCAAGCACTCTTGGCAAGGTGGGTGTGCTTGGGCAGTACAGAGCTCGTGGCACACTTAGGCCCTGCTGGCCCCATCTGCTGGGGGGGCCCACAGGGGACTGACTGTGCCCTTGATGACTGTAAAGTGTGGCTCATGTGAGCCAGAGTTTGACCAACTCAAAACTTGCCTTCAGAATGTTCCCAACAAGCAGAAATGCCAAATTCATCTCTTTGTTTGGAGATATTTTCAGAATAGACCACGTGGTGCCCTTCTCCTAGTACTTGGCCACAAAGAAAAGTGGTTGAAGCTGTGGACCTGGTCTCTCCCAGCACAGCTGCAAGACTGGTGTGTATGGCTGGCTTAGCTCCACACGATTGTGACAGTAGGAAAAGGGAATGATGAGCACAGTCCAATGCCAAGTAATCCTGCTGATTGATTCTTTAAATATGGCCTAAGTGTATACATTTCTGAAGTTATGTTAGATACAACAAATACTCTACACTTTGGCTATACTGGGGCATTCTGAGAGCAGAATAGAAACTTAGTGTTCTGACTATGCTGTAACAATTGAAGTGAAACACAGGTCCATTGACAAGTTGTGAGGGATAAGAGCAGCTCCTGGCTCTCATAAGTGATCAGTAGAGGCTACATCTATGGGAATCAGTCCAAAACTCTTGTAGGTGATGCTAGAGCTGGGTGGATTGTGGGGCCCACTGGTGTTGGTGCTTTCCACAGATGAAATGGCACAAATTCTCTAGCTCTTTTCTTTGGGGGCTGCATGATAAAAACCAACAAGAAAGGAAAAAAAAATCATTATTGAAGGAAGGGGGCATCCAGTCTTAGCATATAATTTAAAACCCTTTTGATAAAAACTGTGTGTCAGTCTCATTGAAGCAATATAGTAAGAAAAGAATTGACAGTGGCTTTTGTTTGTCAGGAGATGCTTCATCTTGAAGCTGGTAGCTTCACTTTACCTTGGTTTGCCTAATGAGTTGTGATTACTCTCAAGAACAAAAAAAAAACCCCAAACGTTTTCTCCTCCAAAGTAAAGTTTCCCTAAATTCTTAAATTTGCACTTTAAAATTAGGCACTGGATGTGGTGGAAGAACTAGAAAGGTGGAAGAATTAAAACTGCTGGTTTGTGTATTGGTGGTGCTACATGATGTTATGTATAAGGTGACAGTGACACCTTGGCCTGTGTGCCCACAGGGAGAGTGGAGTGAGATGCTGGAAGGCCTGGCTTTCACTTGTACACTCTGCTGTTCCCTATCACACCACATCCAGTGAAGCGGAAGCACACTATTATTCATGGATGAAAAGAGCACCCATGTAAAATGTGCAAGCCATGTGGAATTCTGCTTTTCCCAGTGAAGTTACAGAGGACTAGCATCCACTTTATTCCTTAGAGAAATATCCTAAAATTAAATTAGTGGTAGGAACTAGCTAGGTTTTTTGCTTGTTTGTTGGCACACTTACTTGTCTTCAAAGAGCTGATTGATGTATGCAGTGATTATTGAGAACTGATGGGAATATGACAGAAAAGACCTGAGAACCAGCAGATGACTCAGGTTACACTAGAAGTAAGCTCATCTAGAAAAACTTCCAAGCAAGAGAGCACTTTTAACATCCCCTTTGGCAATCTTTTGTATACAGTAATTTTGTAGCATGAAAAACTGTTAAATTTGCTGTGTTTAAATTATTTAGGCCTATGTTTATGTTATTCTGTGAAACTTGTTCAAAAATAATATAACCTTATTTTATACAAATGTCTTTGGCTGATGTGTTATGAAATAGTTCAGCTTGTGAAGAGTATTTGGAAACTAAATTTTGTTCTCATTAAACTTTCCTAGCTGCTCAGGAAGCAATGTATTTATAGTATGATAGCATGTAAATGCTGTTCCTTACTGCCTCTATATTTTAGAATAGAAAATAACATAAGGCTTTAAAAATGCTGATATATTGTGATTGTTGTCATCTGATACATAAATATTTTTTAATCTTTTAAGACATTGGTTGTCACAATTTGTTCTTAGGTTCTAAGAAAAAAGTCTACTCCCTCTATATGTGGGGAAAAAATCCACATAAGTTAGAGAAATGGCTGGTCTTTCTTTGGTACAAAATTACTAATTCACTTTGAAATTCTCTTACAGTAATATACAATTACTTCCATTAAACCCAGACAGGGGAAGGCTAGCTGATTCATAAGCTTCTCTAACAGAAACTTCAGCCTTCAGTAGACCATGTCACTGAAATGGAATTTCAAAACTCTGATATAAAGAAAACTTTTCCTACCCCACAGCAGTTGGTCTCAATAATGACAAGAGCAGCATCCTGCAGTGATGGTTGTAATGTTATTTAGAAAACACATAGGGAGTTACTGCAGAACTCCTCACAGTACCAATAACTCAAAGCTTACTAATCACTAAAATGCTTTATAAGGTTTCTTTCAGTAGGTAAAATAACTTCCAGTTAAGCTTGGGCTTAGATTCAGCAGTTAAAAAAAGATGGAACCCAAATTGCTCCGAATGTGTGGGTTTTTTGATTGTCCAAGGTTTGTTTGCACAGCCTCAGATTTAGTGCAAAGTACTAAACTTCAGCACTTTTGCCAGCTGGCTTTGATAGGGAGGCAGATGGATGACTTAAAGCCTTAAAGTCCTGGTCTGTTATCCCAAGTGAAGACAGGTGTTCCCTGTCTCTTCACACATCAAGCAAAATACTTTTTTCTCCAGACACTATTGCTGATCAACTGCCACAGGTACAAGACTAAACTAAAGCAAGGATTTCTACACTGAGCTGAAAAAATTAAGTGTTTTTATGTTTTGGGCTCTCTCTGGCAGGAGTGCTGCCTTAGATCCTAAGTGCAGTCTCACAGGAGACCAGCCAGGCACTGATACACATTTCTGCTACCTGCGTTATGTAGCATTTGTAGCTTTTAAAGACATCATGCCCATAGGTGTGAGAACACCTGTGTAGCCTAGTTAACTAAAAGGTAAAGTACCAAAACAGAAGATGTTTGGAGGACAGATACAAGCTTATTTTAAATCCACAGCAAGAGATCTAACTGCTGCCAGAAGAAACAAAATATGTGCCATGTAACAAAAGCTGTTAAACCCCCCCTTTAGATTCAAGGAACAGATAGGTGCCTTTAGGACAGTATTTACTAAAAGTTTTTTTCGAACTTTGTCATTGACAAGTGTGATACAATATGATCTACAACTGAAGCCGTCCCAGAATTCACATCTGATGTGGGCCCGTCAGGTACAGAGTTACTCCATGATGGCTTTGCCTTGCCCATGGTCTTTGCAGTTTCAGGTAAGTTTCAGAATCCCACCAACTTTATTTACAGCACAGCAGACCTAGAACTATTCCCCAGGAATTCCTAGCACAATGTCAAGGTTGTTTCTGTTTTTCTGGGAGAGTGCTCATCTTGGAGTGGGACACACATCTCATCAACACTTCTCTAAATCAGTGGAACTCAGATTTCTCTGGTCTCCTACAGCTGCATGTGCCAGTTACTTTCTTGGATGTAAGATAAAACACATGGCAGGCATCTCAGGGCAGAGGTTAGAAACAGCCTCGAGGGCTGCTGTGGAAAACACAGGTGAATACGAAGAGAGAGCAGACCAGCCAGGACTTGGGACAGCCTCCTGTGCATCACAGCCCGCACAAGCCCCTGGCCACTCCCTCGTACCATCAAAAAACTCAGCTAAGAAACTATTTTTTAAACCTCATTTAATAAAAGGTGTTTTTTTGATATATAGAGGATATTAAGTAAATAAGTTACATAGTACATTACAATCACATCTGCAAGATTTCCTTTAGTGTATTAATATTTTATAAAAAAGCACACAAAAAATAAATTCAGTCCAGTCTATCACAACTGTACAGCAACAGGTAAATATATTTATATATGTACATTTTAAACATGTAACAGTCTTTTAAAAGGTGCCCTAGGCAGCAGACACACAAAAGGAAGTGTCTGCTCACTTGTTAAAATAAAAGTAATATACTTTATTATAAAGCATTTATACAGTAATTACAAAGGCTGACTGCTCCTGTACAGTACACCAAAGCTTCAACTACAAATTTAAAAACAGAACATAAAAAGAATGAACACAAAAGAAGTTTATATCAAATCTGAACTACAAGGGGAGAATACATGTGGAGAAGCTGCAGGAAACTTTTAAAATACACAATTACATTTCTATAAAAATATATGTTGTCTTCTAATCTGGAGAAGTTAAGGGTTTTTTCAGGCTCAGCTGTCAGTGGAATCTTAGTCTTGGAAAGAAAGATCCTTAGACAGCTTAGGATTCAAAGTTTGTGTCTTCCTAACATATGACACGGGAGAGGAGGAGGAAAAGTAAAGTAGCTGAACCCAAGTGACGAATTTACATAGAAACTCACCTCCCCAGAAATCAAACACGATTTGTAGACTTGTTTCTCTGTCTCTTTAAAGCTTAATAAACTTCCAGACATAGATCTGAAGATAAAACAGGGAGAAAGTTTGTGGGGAAAAATGCGTATTAGAATATGGTTTCTGGTAAGCACTGGACTAAATGTGCCGTTGTATGAAAGTGGACAGGACTCCTATGGCTGTAGTCCTTCCTACTCCCGTTACTTTAAAATACTGTATGTATCTGTAGGAACCTTCTGGTCTGCTGCCTGAGAGAAAAATTAAGAAGTGTGTAACTGCTGAGAGCAAGAAAGCTAACATTTGTGATTTAAGAAACACTTTTTGAAAAGTGTTGGTTTTAATCTAAGCTTGTTGCAATGATAAAAATGACCAAAAGACTCAGTTTGATAAATCAGAGTATTTTTAGTTAATTTGGACTTTGTCTACAGTGGGTTTAACAGATGAGTTACTTTTGAGCTTTTGAGTTTCTATCTTTGCTCTGCCTGTGAGCAGCTACATCCCTACCTGTTTCTAGCCAGCAAAATGCCATGGTCCTGCACAGCTGAGTGAAATTCTGTAGGCCTTCAACTTACAGAGACAAGTTCTCTCTGATACCATCAACTGTATCAGTAAAAGAACAAACATCAAATAAATTAAAATGCAGAGTGGTTCTTGCAGCTAGACTGCAAAACACCTGCAGCTATATCAGATATGCATCACAAGTACATGCATCTATCTAGTAATTACATACACACACAGTCTTACAAAACTCAGATGCTATCCCATGCACATCACAAACCTGAAAGACTGAATCTATCTGTAAAGGTCAGGCAGAAGCACAGGCAGAAGTACGTGACCAGGGCCAACAGACCTGTCACTGCATCTCTGTGGTGCCCAGTGCTGGCATCAAGACTCAAGTAGGTAATGATTTGAAATACAGCCATCTGACTATGGGGTATGTGACCACCTGAAGCCTGATCTTGCACTGTAAAAGGCAAATCTATTAGTACACATTTACAGAATTGCATTCCATAAATATTTGTTCCCATATAAAAGAACTAAAGCGAAGAGACATCTTGTTCAAATTAATGTCTTTCTACTGCCTGTTTTCTAAATTAGCAGCAAACCCTTACAGTAAATGGGGATCAATCAATAGGCCTTTAAATGATGGAAAATAATGAGCATGGAGTTTTAAAACAGACATATCAACAGAACATTGACAAGAATTTTGTTTGTTTGGAGTGGGTATTTTTAAATCTTAACTGGAATAACACAAATTAACACTGTGCTGCAGTAAAGAGCCACTAAAATTATTTTTTTCCCACAAAGAGTAGGGACATAACTCATTCCAGATTAAATTCCATTTAAATGCTTTGTCCACAGAAACTGGAGGTTGGTTGTTTAGGTTTTGGTTTTGTTCTTTTTTAAAAAAACAATTACCTGCCAACTTTTGCTAGTAGGCAAGCTCTAATTCAAATGCAGGATCAATTCCAAACTCCAACTGTAAGTAGAAGGCTTGGTTTGCTTGTTTGTCTTTTAAGATGACACTTGGAGGAGCTGTTTTCCTTACTACCATGCCAGAAAAGAAGTCTTCTGGTGGCTAATAGCAATTTGGAAGTATGCTCAGAAACATTCCAATTTGATGCCACTTACTTGGCACATTTAACCTGATTGTGGTCAGCCCTGCTAACCCACAGCTGTTACAGAGGTTATCCTCAGAAAAAACCCTTTTCTGATTTTCTTCCAGTGACAGACTGTGTCCAGTTTTCCTGTTCTGTTCTACTTATACTGCAGCAGGGTGGGAGAGAAACAACCAGTACTGAAATCAGCACATAACACATACAACATTTTTATGCAAGTAAAGAAAATTTCTGATTTGTTCTAAAGCACCTCAATGGCTTGTCCTTGACAAGAGGAGAAATTGTATCTGTTTCCTAAAATAGGGAGAATCAGTGAAAGATCTGGCCTTTGGAAGACTGCAATAATTCTTGCAGTAGCTTCACCTACTGTTCCTCCTGACACAGGGTGCTAAAGCTTCTGTTCTCTCCAAGGGCCCTAAGATAATTGCAGACAAGCATTTTCTCCAATTTATAAAAGAAAAAAAGATAAAAATCAACACTGAAATCCTTAAGAGGAAGACTGATTTGCTTAAGCTTCTTTTTAAAGAAGGAGCTTTTAGTTCTTTGCAATTTTTGAATGATTTTAACAGTTCATGATGTGCTATGTGCTTCCTGGTAACAAAAACTAGTCAACAAGATCCATCCAATGTAGGAGCTTGGAACAGTCAAAAAAATGCTGAAAGGAACCCCAGTTTTGATAGGAATAAAAAATAAAATCCTGACAGAACATGAAAGTGAAAGTGTGTCAACTTTGCAAAGAGTGCAGTCCTTAATGATGTTCCTCCTGATTCTCTAAGAGTAGTAACTGTTTCTCCTATTCAGAAAAGTGATTCTGTGCAAAGGCATGAGTATGT